CTATCACATTCACCTCTCCATTCTCCGAAGTGGAGAATGGAGAGGTGAATGTATGTATAGCCTTATTCCTCGTATAAGGCTATACATACTGTGTAGGAATACAGTATGTATAGGCTGTACATACGAGGAATAAGGGTATACATACTGTGTTATCTAGAATCTATGTGTTGGCGAGCTTCAGTGTTGGTGAAAACCGGTCAGAACAGAGCAGAAAACTCGCTGTGAGAGAGTCAACCTACGTCTAGGGAAGGCCAGGGGGTGGTCAGCCCCCTTTCCCTCAGTTGGTTGCCCAGGTAACATCCGTTGGCAATATTTTTCACAACACTGGCCTCAGATCATCCGGCGGACAGCTAGGTAAAACCATCAACTCTGTGTTCAACTTTGCATCATTGGGACGTCATGTGATTATACCTTATTAGCTCCTATCGTGCGGCTTGTGAAGGCTTTCCCTATCCTTTTTTCCCCATTTGGGTAGCGCTTTCAATTCTTGACATAGAGGTACGGGCTAATGCAGCAATACTTCACCTCTATGGCATGACATTGCTGGATGCAAGACACATGGGTCAATGTCTTCTTGTGTCAATCTGTTAAATAATTCCAGGTGCCATTCAGCGCTGTCCTCCGAATTGTCGTAGCTTGCTTAGCATTTGAGGCAGCAGGGGGAATCTATACAGGGTTGATTCGACCTCTTTGACCTGGTTAAACTTAAACTTGCTGAAGATCTCGCTAATCATTGCTCATTTTGGTCTGCCTGAGTTGATTTCAGATCTCACTGAAGACTCAGCTTTTATGCCATTTTCCAACTTGCATGTTGTGTTGTTTCTGTAAACTGCTGTCATGCTACTGACAGATCACTGACTACATTTGTTGGTGCAAATGGCGTCTCTCAATCTGTAAATACTTGAACTTGCTTGGTGCATCTGAGTGTATCGACACCCTGTGTGCTTAGGGTGTGTTGCACACGTACAAAGGTAGTGTACAGATGCAAATACGATGGTTTTGCTCTATACTGTGATATGATAAGTAAGAGCAATATAAAAAGCCCGCCTGTGTCTGCAGAAAATGTGTGCTGGTCTGACAACTCACATGCTGACCTGTCATCTAAAACTGAACGGTAAGATATCATTATTATTTTGGTATTGATGTAGGCCTACATTGCTGAACGAACGTATTCGTTACTTGGGTATCTTCAGATCTCATTGAAGACACAGCACTGATGCATTTTGCTTCACAATCTACAATATTTTGTTTTGTTTAGGCAACCAACTAAAAATGTGTGCAGAATACGTTGCGCAAGTGCACAGTTGGTAGTTTGGTTCGATACAGTGAGGACGTTGAGCAAACCATCACAATTTTGCGGAAAATGTGAGCTGGCCCTAGCACCAACATGCTCAAATGCTATCCACAGTTGAGCGGGGGGATACAAAACTAATACTGACATTGATGTAAATATTTATAGCTCAGAGGGTGTATTCCCTATTTTAGCGGCCTTAAGGTCTTATGGATTATTTACACCTTTTGTTTTCAATCTGTCGTTTGCTGTAGGCAGTATATGATGTATGCTGTATATACCTACAGCTTATGTCACTGACATCAGGACAGGTCACTAAATCGTTGATGCGTATAGCATCTCATGATCTGTAAATATCAGAATTTGATTTTCGATATCAACTGGCGGTTCTCAAGTTACGTTCACGATCTTCAACACGCGAGTTCTCCAGAGGTAGCGGCCGGTCCGGTGGAGCTCTTCATGCATTGCGGCCGGCTCGGCGGAGGCCTGTAGGGGTAACGGACGGTCCGACGGAGTCCTCCAGGGGTAGCGGCCGGTCCGGTGGGCTGGATACACGGGAGCGCGTTCCCAGAACACGGATCCGTATCGACCGACCGTTCACTGTAGCGAACTGGGACGTCCGCAGGAGGCCGACTCTGCCGGCAAGATCTCGAGGCGACCTACCGCGCTCAGGTCAGCCTACCGGACGTCGGACCGGGGCGCCGCAATGAGGCCAGGGTCAGGGCGCGTCAGGGCGCCGTAGGGCGTCGCAACAGGTCAGGTCTCAGGGTAGTCGCCTCGGATGTAAGTGTTAGAGTGAAGGCGGCTGTGGCTGGTGGTGACTGACAAGATACACTTGGCACCTATATGTACTCACACCCACACCCACACCCACACCCACACCCACACCCACCCACACCCTTCCCACCCACACCCTCACCCACCCGCACACCCACACCCACACCCACACCCACACCACACCCACACCCACACCCACACACACCCACACCCACACCCACACCCACACCCACACCCACACCCACACCCACACCCCACACCCCCCCACACCCCCCCACACACACACTGCTTCTTTCTCTCTGTTTCTCTCTCTCTCTCTCTCTCTCTCTCTCTCTCTCTCTCTCTCTCTCTCTCTCTCTCTCTCTCTCTCTCTCTCTCTCTCTCTCTCTCTCTCTCTCTCTCTCTCTTTCTCTCGTCTCCTTCTCCGTCTCCGTCTCCGTCTCCGTCTCCATCTGTATATGTTTCTGTCTATGTCTGTCTATGCCTATGTCTATGTCTGTGTCTCTGTCTGTCTCTGTCTCCGTTTCTGTCTCTGTCTCTGTCTCAGTCTCTGTCTCTGTCTCTGCCTCTGCCCCTGACCCTATCCCTGTCTCTGCATCTGTCTCTCCCTAGTTGAAATAGCATCGCCGAATGATCCAAACGTACTCCTCGCGTCAGCCATGGTCATTCGCTTGGTGTCGACCGTGACGCTGTGTGGTTGTTATATGGTGACATATCGCGACGCATGTGGTGATCATCACATGTAATAAAGAATTGTGCACGATCCAGGATGGTTTGCACACCGGCCGTGCGCAGAAATAATATATAGCAAGTTATCATTTTGCATTTATTAGGTATGTCATAGGTAATCTATAATACGTCGTGACAGGTTTTTGCTTCCCATGTATTTTTCATCATGCACCACTGTCTAACCGAGAAGTGTAGCCCGGCATTTGTTAGAAGACAAAAGCAGGACAACATCTGTGCTGCAAATCATGAGCACATCACAATAACGTAAGAATCGCTCCATGCCGGCAAAGCGTCGCGTTACGACCCTTGGACGCAAGCACGCGCCGTGGAGTCAAGCATGCCGCGTTGATGTTCACGCAGCTCTGGTGGTCGGTATTTTTCCGGGGAATACTGTGTTATCATGTTGCAGTGCACTGGATCATTGTGTGATAGGAACAAATTTGCATGAGTTATACTTTGGTATAAGTGTGCGTGCGTCCGAGTTGCGTAGGTTTCTCTGTCTCCCTGCGCCCCGTGAACGAGTGTTAAAAAGAATGAAGTGTACGTACTGGGAGGCTCTAACCGATTGTCCAGCTGCAATTTGTGATAAGCTGCAAGTCTGCTGATTTTATGTCGCGTGGCTAGTGTGACCAATCCAATATCTCGGATGTGCCAGTATATTGTCATTCATGTTGTCAGTATGTGATCTGAAGTGTGTGCCAGTGATAAAGCGTCCTGCCTTGTTCTGATGGTCTGGAATTGTTTTGCGTCATACTAAAGTCATAATTGTCATACGTCATGCGACATACGTCATAATTGCGCCCGTCTTTTTGTGTATTTGTTTCAGGTGTTTTGGCATTCGAGCGACATCAATATTGTTAGAAATTCGCGCTGTATATAAAGGGAAAAGGAATTTTAAAGCATAAATTAAGGGAACCTTCGGCAAAAAATAACTGGCACCGTTGGCAAATTCCAATCGATATCGCACATTGTTTAGGCGCAATCGCCAATAGGCAGCTCATGGAGCGTTACAGAGATCACGCGTATGTATATATCGAGAAGCGATCCGGAACGGATTGGAAATCCCGCCCGAGTGTCTCACTTTTCAAGCTGATCTCAATTATTGCCCAATGTTTCCAGTTGGGGGATGACCTTAGATCGGTCTTAGACCTTACAATCTCAGATCGACCTCAGATCTTTTCGGCAATTCAAGACGGCCAGGGGGGGGGGGGCTTCGAAAACATAAACACGGACCCTGGAGGCATCAAAAGTGGACCGTAACTCTCAAAAGGTCACTGAATGAAAAACAGGGCCAAAGTCAAAGATAATAATGTTTTCTAATTCCCATTGACAAATTTCTATTTTGGCAGCTTTGAGACACCAACGGTTCTCAGCATTCTCCAGCCCTGGTTGCACACTTTGTCATTAAGTGCCCTTGGCGATCATTAATGCCGCAGTGGTCCTTGCTCTAGATAGTGCGATCACAAATTTGGAACACATCTGTATTTGATTGATCTGTATGTCCATATAGCCCACTTTTTATATCGAGCTCATACGAATACATGCTCTGCCCGACTAAGTTGCCAGCATCCTCCTAGTTTAATGTGGGTATGAATAACAAACAAGTTGCATGCAAACCACAAACCAAAATCATTGTTAACAGCCTCGTGATACCTTCAGTGATCAATAAAATTGAGTAGAAATGCCTCTAAAGGCCAAGGTTTATCTTGCCGCCCGGTATTCATGAACCCCCGCTCCAGCATTCCAAATGTCGGGCCACGATCTTTTCACGCGCCTGTTTAAGTCGGCCCGTGGAACAATGTAACCAAAACATGTCCATATGATCAATTATAAACTGATGTGAACTGCTACTTTAATATAGAAAAGAAAACCGGCTTCAGCCACACTCAAACACTCAAGCAACACCCTGCTGACTTTTTTTCTATTTCAGCTGACAGCTCCAGACTGGAACACGAACAAACCAAGTCATGCAAACCAACGGCCCGAACTAGGCATAGACTCATACCGAGCCTAAGTCTCTCCGTTTCCATGGATACTGCACCACTCCGTATCCATGGATACTGGGACACTCACCATCCACGTGATCTGCTCGGTATTCATCCCACCACCTGGTGTCTAGGGAGCCTGTGGCGACCGCTGCTGCGCCGCATACCTTCTCTGTCAGGGACGAGTCGGGCCAACGACAGCCGCTGCCAGCGCTGACCTGACATATTGAGGCGCAGTTGGTTGCCGATGTATTCGCCAACCTGGTCCCAGCTATACCGGCCGCGCGTCACCTGCTTGAAGTGGATGATCCGGTACCGGGCCGGACCGTCCCCCTGCTCGTCGAACTGAAACCGGTCGCCGCTGAGACCTGGGGACAGGTCAAGATGAACTGGCATACCGAACTGGGACAAACATGCATATATGAATGAACAACAAAAAATGGTGTGTGATGCCTGCTGACTTCGAATCATTTGCATGTTTGAATGAAGCCTGATGCGTGATGCCTGGTGACTTGAATTCATTTGCGTGCGCAGGTATTTTTGTCGTATTGCAATTCTTAGTTATATATGCCCTGTACCGTAGTAATACTTGGCAATTGCCTCTTGTTTAATTCCCTTAATGTTGCTGTCCGCTAAAAACTGTAGCTTGTTGTTTAAAAAAAAACCTGAAAAACCGAGCAGAATTATCGACAGGCAATTCTTAAGTTACTTTTGCTACCCATTTTGACAAGGGCACACTGCCGAAATATCAACGCTTATGCATCGTCATTCAGCTGGCTTTTCTCCGAGGAATAAGGCTACGACTACTGTCTTCTCGAAGCAAGAGTTTCGGCTACGATAACCTGTTGCTTTTGACCATATTGGGCTGACTTTTCGGTGTTGGTGAGGGCCTCCGCTACTTCTATGTGTAGGCGAAATCGTCGTAGAATGCCGATGATGTTTGACGCGCATTTACTCATTTGCGAAACGTTTTGGCGCGTAATTCCAAGACAATGCGCAACTTGCGCTGGCGCTGTTCATTACAACAGTAATTAAAGCGAACAGCGAATGAACAGGAGTACATGTGAAGGTTCAAGTACGGGGAATAATGTTGTACGGGCATTGTGTCCAACCGATCCCTTATTGTTAAGCAGCTTACAAATTTAGCTTAAGGACTTTGCCAAGGAAGGTATACGAGGCCATATACCCTGAGCCGTGAGATTTACCCAAGATCCGTAGTCATTCCGCAGAAATTCGGTCCAAATTCGCGGAAGTTCGGGGAAAATTTGACATTGCCACACCCTAAAATAAATAATCGAAATGGGTGAAGTTTTACTTGAAACTGTTTCGCACTCGTTCTTCATTGATGACAAACTGGTTGTGACATCCCTACCGAGTTCAAATGCTGCCGATGCGCTTGGAAAAAATCTTAGAGTGGTGCTAGGTACATTCATATGGAAAATGAAGAACAGTGGTATAATTCGCATGCGTTTCTGTGCCGCACCAATCATACGTTTTCGCCAGTCAAAGTTACATATCCTGCTTACACCACTGAACTGGAGTATTTCTAGATCAAAGTCACATATCCTGCTTACATCACTGAACTGGAGTATTTCTAGAGGTGAATACAACATCCCAGCGCATGTTACAGGAAGACGCTACGCTTTGTAACGCTAAAGCTTTTTTGTCACGCGTTGTCAAACCATTAAGTGTTTGAACCTACCCTCACTCCTTTTTACTGAACTGTCCATCAGTGATACCAAAACAACTTGCGCGCTGGTCATTTATCTAACCATAGATAAAACATAAAAAATGTCTGGGTCACACAACGCCAATTGTATCCTTCTTTGGGGCATCACTAGCTTTTTCGGCTTTTGTCCCCAAATGAAAGCAAGCACAAATCAGACCAACAGTTTTCCTTTCCAGCTTAAAGCGAATGTTCCATATTTGTATGGCGTTTTGAACTCAAATAGCCATCTTGAGAACCTTTTGATGCAATTCACGGTCATGTCCTTTTTAAGACCTAAAACGATTTAGTTCCTGAGTTACACGCCTTCAAAAGGGCGAAGAGTTTTATTCGGAGCCTATTTCAAAGTTGCCTTGGCATTACTGACGTTATAGAAGCGTCATGCAAACGCCTTCATACTACAGCCTGTTTTCTGCTTATGGTCAAAGCAGCGTGGCTGTTGGTACATTCGCAAAAGCGATGATTTGGCACATATGATACAATGCGCGGAAGATGATTGGCTGTAAGCAAGATTTCCCTGCTGAATGCGTGTCGCGAACGTGAGCGTGAGCACTTTCGGGTTGTGCGGCGCTCGTTGTGAACGGGGCATTTTTCCTTATTTCTAGGCCACAGGTCACTGTTATAAAAAAAGAACGCCACTATCCGCAAAAAAGTACGGTACCCTAAAAACGGTCACTCCCGAAAGTTATAGAAAAAAAGACGCAACGGCAAATCTGCCTTTTTCCTTTGCTGGCGTCCCTCATACAAACAGCTCGGTTGGCGCCTTGTGTACCACAGCACAGAACCTTGCACGGGTTTATGAAATTAGAGAAACATTACAAAAATTTTGGGTATATGTTTTACTAAACAATTTACACATATTGTACCACAAATTTAGATTTTAAACAAGACTTATGTTCTACAAGTACCTCTACCTCTTGAGCCGCGTTATCATGAACCCCCGTTGGGATTTTGTTTTGAGGGAAGGTCACGTTGAAATGCGGAGTTATGACTGAAAATCTGTGCGGAATTTCCGAGAACACCTGCAATTTCAAGAACACCTGCAAATTAGTTCCGCTAGCTGTGCAAATGTGAAATCACACTTATGTGACAAGAGAGTGTGAATCGGAGGCTTGAAATGTGTGTGATCACTGGTGGTGTGTGCCAGTGGCTTGTTTTGGTCTAGATGTGATGGGGAGTGTGCGTGCGAGGATTGTACTTCTGAGAGGCAACATTGTTTTAGTATTCTTTAAGTCTACTTACTCCTAATGAAATGTGATATATTGACACCTGCCTCTACTTTATGTTTGTGTTTAACACTTATGTTGCACGGGTGTATTAAGGCAAGCTGGTACTTCATTATGATCTTGCCAACATTTTGAGCTTATTGAGGTATTACAGCATGTAATTAATCCATTGCGTGCCATTGCATCAGCAATTTATTTTGGCAGTAGGAGCAGGTGCGTGCAGCTCATTTATAGGTTCACATTATATGACTTTGCAAAATTGTCTTTTCCTGACGAATTCTGATCACGTAGACCTGTATTTTTACTGATGCACATTACACTGTCTTAACAAATTTTGCATGCATTGCATTGCATTGCATTTTGCACACCTTGCATGTTGCCCATCAAACCATAACTACATGCACTAGTCATGTATCCAGCCTTGTGCAAGGTTAGCATGTTTGCAGTGTCATTTCACCACATGTAAAATTTTCCAGTCATTTTTTTAGTAAAGCACCCCGATGGCTGCGGCATGTTGCATGACTGTGGAAGTGGAAGATGTGCTTGCATCTTTCTCACCCACGTTTTGTTTATTCCAAAACAGGCTGAGCAAGCGATGCCACTTATTGGTTGTCTGCTTTGCTGAAAGTGATTTGTACATTGTATCATGTGTTTTTGGTCAGTCATATGTCAGATGGGAAATCAATACAAGAGAAGACACTTGGCCCATCTTTTCATGATGGAATTTATTATGAAAGCAGCATCGTGGAATTGTTTATTATGTCATGCCACAGTAAAGCACTGAGGTAGTGCCACAGTGAAGCTGTTGACCTGTCTCATTACACATTGTACCACATTAATTGACCACTCCATGTCGAGCCTATGAGGTAGCAGCTTACAATTTGTGAATGACTGGCAACAACTAATGTAACAATGCCAAAGAACTATCAACAGCAAAAATGTCCTTGCACCGCGATGGTTATATCAGGGTTGACTATTCATTACATCAATAATCCTAAGCGAAAAAAAAATATTCTTTTCCCAACCTTACCATCTGTACCATAGCAATAGCAATGCTTTGGCAATCAGTTCATAGCAAAGTTACAAATTTATTAAGTTTCGCATGGCACCGCATTTCCAGTTACAAACAAAAAGAAGGTAACTACTGCGCACATCACATGATATCGATGTCAGGACTACAACACTGCAGGCAACAATGGGTCGACAAAGCATTGTCAAAATCATCAACATAGCAGCAACAGCAGCAGCACGGGATACCGTGCTTTGATATCAATAATCTGTCATAAAAACTGGCCATCGCTACATTGCGTATGTCAAACAGTCCACCAAAGCTTTTCTTACGACCAGCACCAAGACAAAAATCCACAAAGCACCCACTAATCCGCCGCCTGACACATCCCCCACGACGAGAATGGCTAGTTGGCGTCAGGTTTCGTGTGTTTTGAGTCATTCTTTAGGTCTTGCTGCCAGGCGCTGCCAGGTATTGTTGACGTCACAAACCATTCCATAACGCCATCAAACAACGACGTAATGGGGCGCATTTTTATAAACTTTAAAATTTGGTTTCTTAGCGTCGTTTTTGAACCTTGAAAGCTCACCAATAGTTACAAGTAAGCTTTTCCCATCATATCTGATGCCTACCTCAACATCTTCAAACGTCGAACATTCCCTTTAGCCAGTCAAAATCAATCCAATGCATTTTAAGGTCTCAGTGGATCAAATCGGCTTAAATGCGGATTTTATTTTTAAACTTAGCATGTGAAGCAGAGATAACACTAGGGATGTTGAGCCTTTCAAACATCCGACTAGTACTAACGTTTGAGGAGAATTGCAGTGTCTGCTATACTGACCCAGAGAGAGGACAGTCCAATCAGCAAAGGCTGGAGAGGCGGGACCGACCGCACTTTACGGCCAAATCGCTGGACGCTTTTTTATCCTGACAGTTAACGTGAACGCGGTCGACATGAGTCAGCACGTTTGTAATCGAATAGCCACCAAATGCGAACAAAAACAACTTGAGAATCGAGCACAGCGCGCCCTAAAATTTATTGGAAAGTCAATGCTGCTTAGTAAGCATACAGCGCACCCTAGCCGGAAACACCGCACAAAAGGTTCACGTCTTTAAGAAAAGCGAAAGCTCGGAGTGGACGCAGTAAACACCAGAAGCCGCCAAAGGTGGGCGAGATGTTGAACTCACAGCCTAGGCAGCCCCGCGTGTCGTGGGTCAGCAACGATGAAGGAACATCTCATCGTCCCACGGCCTCGCGCGCTGAACGCCAGACACGTCGTCACTATTCGTCACCCTATCGGCGACGTCCACACGCACATTCCGCGGGAGGGTGGAGGGGACCCTGTAATCGGTGAATCAGGCAGACAAACAGGCGAGGCGCCACCAAATCTCGAGAATCCGCTCGGGAAACGGCGGAGCTGACTGTCACCTGACGGCTGAACCCCGGCCCGAGCCGGACTGTCACCTGGTGGCTGAACCCCGGCCCGAGCCGGCTGTCACCTGGTGGCTGAACCCCGGCCCGAGCCGACTGTCACCTGGTGGCTGAACCCCGGCCCGAGCCGACTGTCGCCTGGTGGCTGAACTCCGGCCCGAGCCGACTGTCACCTGGTGGCTGAACCCCGGCCCGAGCCGACTGTCACCTGGTGGCTGAACCCCGGCCCGAGCCGACTGTCACCTGGTGGCTGAACCCCGGCCCGAGCCGACTGTCACCTGGTGGCTGAACCCCGGCCCGAGCTGACTGTCACCTGGTGGCTGAACCCCGGCCCGAGCCGACTGTCACCTGGTGGCTGAACCCCGGCCCGAGCCGACTGTCACCTGGTGGCTGAACCCCGGCCCGAGCCGACTGTCACCTGGTGGCTGAACCCCGGCGGCGGCCGAACAGGCACGGCTGAACAGCAGAGGTCTTCTCCCACCCCGATTGGCACACTGGAGTTGCGTGACTTCTTTATCTTTGCACATTAAGGGAAACCAGGGGTGACATGGTTGACAGCGGATCCCGCTATCGCAGCACAAGAAAAAAACCAGACGGTGATAGCAAATCATAATGTAAGTCACGGCAAATCCAGTCAAGGGATAGAAGCAAAAACAAAACGATGGTGCAACTTTGCGACGCAGGGAATGCAGACATTGTTAAAAGCGGCAGAAATCATAGGGAAGCAAAGCATTGGCTATAGTCTAAGCGATCTTTGACTGCCAAGTAGGCCTCTCAAATAGTCTACATTAAAGGTGTTAGAAAACAGCGTTCAGACGTTGGGAGTTGAGCTCTGTAGCTCTGTTGCTCTGTAGCTCTGTTCAAGTCATGTATAATTCATCAGACACTTTGCTAGTGTCATTCTCAGCACGCTCCAACATTTCCATACGGTTTCTTCAAACGTTCTCCCAGAGTGAAGCGGATGACATTGTGACATTCCAACGCTACCAAACTAGAGTCGAACCGCGTATTTTTGCGTGAATCGGACCGGATGATAGGTGCGACAAATCAGGCGTGAGGAGCTCTCTGGAGCCCACGTTCGGTGGCAGGCCCAGCCCACCCCCAGTGTCACCACTTGTTTTTGTCGGGTCGCACCGTTCGAACGGATGGCCTCGGTGGCGGCACGACTGGGCAGGCCGTGCTTGCGACGCCCCCGCCGCCTGAGATGAGCTGTCTGCGGGAGACGCAGGTCTGCCACGCAGCGCGGGCCCGCCCAGGCTGCAGGGCGAAGTCCGCCCACAACAGGCGAGCGAAGCAGCACTGAGCCGACAGTGGTATGCGGCAGCGGACCGCCTGAGCCCTTTCAGTCATTGCGTCAGAAAATAGGGTGCGTATGGGTCAGACGCAGATTTAAATTACATTCAATGACGTGGTGCATGCCATATCGCAGGATACCTCGGAATGTTTTTCTCTGTCTTTCTCTTAGCACGTAGTACCACAAATTCGATTATTGCCACGGTGCTGAGGCATCGACCATGCGCCGAGGCATTTACAGTCTCTGCAGTGCGCATTAGGTTCTATTCCCGTGTCAGCGAAGTGAGGTATGAGTGAAAATGCAGCTGGCGTAATATACAAGTTGAACGGAGTCCATCCAAGCCTCAACTAGCATGGAACATTACAATTTTTAGGAAAGTAAGACTGGTACTTACCATCAAACTGTACGTTTCGTAAGTATTTCAGCAGCTCTGTGCCGTCAACTGGATCCATTTTATTACAGAGTCCTCGGAATCCTTCACCACATTTCTCTCGGTGCATGTCCCTGCAAAAAGATTCATGTCATCACGAAATGCTCACTTAAGATCGGAGCTCATTAGGGCTGCGCTGTAATCCACCTTGGGATGCCAACGTTCTGTAAGCTTTTATGGATGTTCGCTCGCTTGTTCTTCTATGAGAGTCAGCACACTCCCGCCGAGGGATTCGCCACGGACTGAGGTGTACACTCTCAGTGGATGTGAGATGAAATTGTGGGAAAAGGTAACACCGTTATACATAATTTTGAACTGAAACAGACGGGCTACAAAGCGCAGAAATATGCACAGAAACCCGTCCTCACAAAAATCTAAAGGCCTGAAGCATGAGCCTACTTTGTAAATGCTCAACATTTTCAAGCTTTCTACTCGCGCGTCTGTGGCACATTTTTATTATCATATTCGCGTCGCCTCGGCGCTCTCCATTTGCCCCTGGCTGGAAAGACTGCGGTCGATGGCAGTAGCTGCCAAGGTCATATCAGGTCAAAGGGCGGGACGAGCCGTGCCGAGCATTGTGCTACGTTAAACTTTCGCCATAAGGTTCTACTCTTCAATTGGAACCTCCCGCTCGGACGGCAGACAAGCACTGCTTAACGTGAACTCCGATCCCATAAACATATCCAATCAAAATATTCGGGCTAAGCTTGGTAACCAAGCGTACATGTAAATGCACAAGACTTTCAGTTGTAATGCATACAAAGATAGCACATCACTCAAATTGGCTGAACAATTGTTCGCACTATCGCGTCCGTCTGATGTGTTAGTGTACACATGACGTTTCGAATAATTAGTTCAAAGGTCGTCATCAGATATTATGGAGTCCTGCAAAGGACTGAATGATGTTTGGCTTTCGTCACAGCCCACACTCTCTCCTTGAGATTTCTTGGACTCGAACTAGAGCCTTCTGATTGCGAGTTCATTGCTTTATGAACTGAGCGAAACTGGCTGAGGACGAAGACTGAAGCCGATCCTGGATATCTGAACCACGCCTTCTGCAGCTCACGTCCACCCGAATTAGTCAGTTATCCTCAAACCTTGCGGATCTGGGCCTCGCAGATGTCAGACGCTGTGCTGGAGAGCACGCTGCAAAGGAAGCCCGCTGCACCAAAGGTGACAATGAGGTGCACCATGAGCTACGGAGGCTCTATTGAGTCCCTATTTTTCTACTATGGAGATGGCTCCACGACAGCGGTCAACGCGGCGCGGTGCGTCGACATGCTGGAGTGCCTTTGAAGGCATCTGGGGCAAAACCACGGGGGCAGAATGGAGAACAACTGCTTCCAGCAAGACGAGGCAGCTCTCCACACGTCTAGTGTGGCTTTGGCCTAGCTAGAAGGTCAATTCGGAGAGCGCATCAGCAGCCGAAATACGCACAACCGGTGGCCGACGCACTCTCTGAACGTGACCCTGTGAATGTTTATTTATTGTAGTCCCCGAAACACCAAGTCTGCAGAAAGAGACTTCAGAGCGCCTATCACCTAAAGGGGGACGTTGGACAGATCGCGAACAAGACAACGCCTGACACGTGCGCCAAGATTATCGGTGAGGTGGCAAGGTGCGCAGACTTTCGCGTCCCTCGAAAAGAGAGTCACCTGGAGCACTTGCTGAAATGGTTCCCCGAGTAATGAACAAGTGTAAGTAATGCATGGCACAAATGACCGCCTTTCTGTTGAAAATTTGCTTCAATACATTTGGTCAGGTAAATTGCCGTGTCGGTTTTCCTATGGGCCAGTGCAGTCTCGAGATAATTTTTTTCCATTTTGCCCTACATATGGAACTTTTCAGACAGTACCGTCTTGATTACCATATGCCGCATCGCTCTTAAGAAACTGACACATTTTTGCCACAAGTCAAGTACCAACGCTGCTCGCACCCAAAAACCATTTCATTTTGCACGCATCATCAATCTGCCACACACTGACATGTCACATCCCTCCCGGCACGTGCTCGGCGTGAGCCCATTCTCTGGGGAGCACAGCTTCTCCTTTGAGGACGGACCGGACGACTCTTGCGCACATCTCGGCACCAATCTCCTGTACTGCTGTGGTGATGGACATTTTGAGCTGCCCTTGTTCTTCTTTTCTCCGAGAACCCTAACCTGAGGATCACCACGATACAGCTTACCTTTCAGGTGTCCCAATAGGAACGAGTCCTGCGGACTCAGGTCAAAGGCATGAGTGGGCTCGCCGCCTGTGGTCGATCTCACGGCAAATGACTTTCCCGCCAAAACGTTCTCCCAGCCACATCAGGGTTGCGCGGATCGTTGGGTGGGGGAGGGGGTAGGAGGGGAGGGGGGGGGGACAGTGCCACCCTGATGGAATCACATATTGCGGACATGTCAATGGAATGCCATTGAAGCTAGGCTCAGGCTTTTAGCAGAGCCTCGGAGCGAGGCATATTTTAACATCTTTTTTTGCTGAGGCAAATGGCTCCCAGGTCGTCCGAAATGTATCTCTGGTCGCGGCATCCTGCTTCTCCAACAGAAACGATACATAGACGCATCCGCGCCTTTAGAAAAGTGGTTAGTCTGTTTTCAAAACGGTACGGATGAGTTGGCTAGATACAATAGTGTACTAGGATAACAAAACCTGTAGGTATATAAGTTGACATGGACATATGATCTTCTTCAAAGGTAGCGCGCGGCAAAGCCCTCTAAATAAATCCCCTCCTCGATCGTCAAGCTGCCCCCTCGGGGAAAGGTCTTCAAATAGGCGTTGCCTCGGAGATAATGGCGACCTATGTTCTTCAACTAGAAAGGTAAGATGCCAGCTGATGGCACGTCAGACTGTACCCTGTCATTGCACAGTAGCCTTTTTATCCACCAGGTTGGGGTTCGGTTGCACGGAATTGATTGCTACGGCTGTTGACCTGACCCAGATCGGCTGCCCAGGTAAAAGTGAGCCTCACCGGAGAGCTATATTCACTCCTGGAAATCATAAGATCCTTCGGATAGCTAAATCAGCCACAAGCAGGGCATCTGCAGGCCCTCCATGTCTTCAGCTGGGGGACTTTTCTTGGTTCACATTTGTTGGGATGCATCTAGACATCTTGTTTCAGAGTGCTTGTTGGCGGCCCTGACGTTGTCAGCGATCTCTTGCAAGAGGCGGCGGAGTGACTACCGGAGGGCTGCAGACCACAAATTCAAAAGACAAAAAGGAAATGCCAAAAGGAAAAATTACAACGGCAAACAGTCAAAACGATAAAAGTCAACTGCAAACTAGCCTCCAGGTACTAAGTAAAAGACAGCACGTCCAAAAAATAAGAATCAGCTGCAAGGAGTCAAAAAAGCCGAAGACAAGAGAAACAGAAGTCAAATAGAAAACACAGACCATGTTATCTAACAGAGCACAATCTCCTGGTCAAAAGTCAGGCATTTATAAGACTTTAGATAAGTTCAATGCAATAAGGCACTTGGTCAGTTGTTAGCCCAGAAGCGCAGGAGGCTGGGAAGAGGAGTGGAAGTTGTTGTCATTGTGGCTTTGCGACGCACTCAGATACTGAGTTCACAGGGCGTCACCTGCCTCTCACAATGACAGAAAGCGTGGATACCGCATTTAATCGAATCCGGTATCTGTGGTTTTCCAGACGCGCAGTGGTTAACGCAGACGGTTAACCGCTTCACTATCGGCACCCCAGGCTAGGGCAAGGGGCAAATGTTAGGGGGTAAAGCCTCGCCCCCGCTTAGCCAATGGACCCCATTCAGTTAGCGGCCTCCTGACTGCATGGAACGCGCATAGATGTCCCATAATTAGATTGGAAGGCCCCTTCTCGCAAGGATAGATATCTTGAGGGACGACGATTTCTTACTGATGGCAAACGTTTTGACAAACTACATAATGTCACTACGTAAATCCCACCACACCTTGTTAAAATGCCGGATTGTTTTGGCAATGCAAAGCACGGTCCGAGTACAATTGGTGGCCGATTTCACTTGGGCAGTCAAATTTTCGGTTCTACCTGACGATTGCATTGACTGACGAGTGCATGTTAGGTTTTAAAAAGGACGTGCGATACAAAAGAGAACCCTGTGGCAATGTGTGTCACGATGCCACGACACGGCAAGTAGCAATCACTGGGGTTGCTCTAGAGCACGCCATAATCAGAGTATGACCTCATGAAACGAAGGAAACCCACTACTAATCCGGCACATCCGACGTCATGCAAGTTGTCTATCATTGCCTCCACATGTAGCTTCAAACCAAATGTCGGCATCGATCGCAGCTACGAAATGACAGCGCGGCCGACAAACACGAGGAAGGCTCGCGTGTGGCGGCGCCGCCTCCAGCGCCAATCATCGACTCGCCTTGCATCCCATTACCTGGTCATATTGACCGGGTCAATCCCGGCCTGATTGCAAGGCAGAGTCGAGAGCGCAGTCAGCCTACGTCGGCGCTCTGCCGGCGGCGAAGGCGGCCGAGGCCAGCGGCCGCAGACACATCGGTTGCTAGGAAGATGGGCGAGACCATGACGGAGATACGAACCTGTCACACTACGCACACAAAAGCGAGTGGAAAAGAGAAGTGACCAGACATAAAACAGTGCGGGGTAGTACACAACGGATAAAATGTGTACACTTCACACTGAAAAATACACGGTCTCCTACTTGAAGGCATAGGCGAAGGCCATGACGGCGTCGCTGACGAACTGCAGCTGCGCCTCGAACTGGGTGTTACTGCGGCTGACAGGTTCGCGCCCCGTGCACTGGCGCTCATAGTTCTGGTTGTAGAGCGTCAGCGGGCTCTCGCGGAACTTGCAGTTGAACTTGTGCTCCCAGTATTCTGTGGGAGCAGTCGGGCGCGTCTCAGTGAGCAGAAGCATTGGGGCGTGACCGCGGACTCTGTGCGCCGTTGGGCGGTCTTTGCACCAGTGGAACGTGTGACAGTATACTCCGGGCACCGATTGGGCGTGTGCACGTGCACTCTGTGGACTGATAAGCGTGTGACCGTGTACTCTGTGCACCGGTGATGACTTTGACAGTGTACTCTGTGCACTGGTGATGAAAGTGACCGCATACTCTGCGCACCGGTGATGAATGTGACAGTGTGCTCTGTACACCGATGATGAAAGTGTGGTCGTGCACTCTGCGCCCGAATGGTCAGTAGACTGTCCAGTGTGCAAGACATCACGCTGGTAGCATGGTTTGCAGTGACTGTCGTTTGCAGCCCGGCGGTACAGAAACAGTACCTGTAGCCAAATGAAAACAGCCCTCCCCGTGGCCACCTGAGTCTTTTCACTTAACTCAGCTGTTTCAACCACACCTAGCTGTCACCCTCGAACCTTCGCCCTGGCTTTCGCTTTCGCTTCTCCCTCTCAAACTTCCGCTCTCGTTTCAGCTGAGAGCACTGGTCTCTGCAGCACTTGTATCGTGAAAACCGCTCCAACTATTCCTCCTATGGCCACTGGACGACACGTCCCGTGGCCCTCCCTTTCCTGCTCTCCCGACGTCGCTCAGCCGTCGTGTCGTCCAACGCGGGGGGAAGGGTAGGGAGGAGAAGCCTCGAGACCACAGAACGAGCCAGCGGGCGACGATTGTCGCCGACGAATGTTAAGTATACCGATGAGCCAGAGACAAAGCGCCGAGCGAGACGATTATGTAGATGGTTGCCAGGGCGCTCGAGGTGGCTCCTGCGCCAGAATGGCCCGCATTCGCGAGTGCAGAGCGGTGCAAGTTAGATAAGAAATGTAGGATCTCAGCAAAGGCTCGGCGCGACTGCCAAATATCGCCCAGTCAGGTAAGCGCCGCGTTCTCTGCAGCCCTGGTCAACGTGTGCTGCAAGCTGCTTTGGTTTGGCTTTCGCATGGAATGCTTTTTATTGGTCGCGCACCACGAATGGTTCGCTTTAACCTTGGCCCCACTCCCGCCCTCTCTTTCGCTTTCCCCTCCCACCATCTCTCTGTCCCATTATTGCTTTGTCTCTTTATCACACCCTCTACCTCTCCATTTCGCCACCCCCTTCTTGTCTCTCTCACCCACCCTAGCCTGAGATGAGACTGACCACGCCCAGCCATTATGATTGTCCTGAGCCTGCAGCAAAAGGTAGGGTCTAGAAAACCGCCATATTATGCAGACATGCAAGTTTTCCGAAACAGCTCGTCCGATCGCCTTGAAACCTTCACCAGTCAATTCCGCCCAATGAGGTGAGTCATGGAGAGGCAATATCTAAAACTGACCTGAGGTTAAACACCTTGAAAACGCGAAGGGAAAATTAGACATACAAATGCAGACAACTCAGTTCTCAGAGCCTGTTGGACCGATCGCTATGAACCCGTCACCATTGGATACCCCATACCTGTTTTCCTTTTGCAGTTCCAAATTTGGTGACCCTAGGTCAGGCCAAAAGTCGTCCAATTCCACGAGGTCCAAAATTTTACCTGCAGTCAACTTATTCAGGAACTGTTTTGCTCCGATCATCTCCAGACCTTCACCACTCGATGGGAGACACCTTGTAGCTGCAATGCATGCCATGAAATCATACTCTTTTGTTGTTTTTGTAGTGCCAAAGCGCGCCGGCATTTCCATTTATATTTTTTGCGCTCGTGGACATTAAAGCAATGATATTTCTACATACTTTGTGCGCTAATACAAGGGCGTCTTCTTCGTTTTTGGTGAGCAAAGACACACAAAGTACACTGTACAAGAGCTATTTATTCGGCACATTTGGAACGACCGTAATGCTCGAATCAAGCATTGCCACCTTGGCGCACAACACACACGGTGAAGTTCAAGGTTCCCGTTCACCAAAGCAGTGAAGTCTTTTCTGTCAGTTTTGCCCCCATTGCTTATGGGATTTATAGCTCCGTGACAAGCTACACAAAGAGTGCAGACAGCATGCCCCAAGAAAGATTTTGAGATACTTGATTTGTCACAGCAGGACACTGACCGGTCCATTTCAGTCCAGGCTCAGTTCGATTCGACGAACTTCTGGACGACTTGGAACCAGTAACTTACAAAATACTGCTGAGGGGTCATGCACGTTATCATGACAAAACGGAATTCGCACGCCACACGCAATAATAAATCACGCACCATCACGTGTTCCACGGCCATGGTTCTATGCATTTTGGCGATGCCATGCACAATTTAGCGCGTGATTTTCAGCACAACACCTCCGCTAAATATAAATTAAACCCCCTAACAGCAGTCTAACCAAGCTGCACGCTTTCTTGGGAACAACCATGAAGGAAAAGGCATAGTTATAACTGGCACCATACATACAGCTTCAACAGAAAATTAGGGTAAATGGCGTGCCGCATGGTAAGGTTTGACAGCTATCGGCGTAGTAGATTCTGAGCTAGAAATTGCATGCAAGCAAGAGTTTCGGACGTTGCGAAATTTGGCGAGTTTTGACCTGGCCTAGGGTCAGGTTTCTCAATTGAATTTTCTGAATCGAAATTTAAAACTGCAAGTGGGAGTCAGGTATGTGGGGCATCCAATGGAGAAGGTTTGGCAGTGATCGGTTCGGCACGCTGTGGGCTATAAGCTGTCTGAAAGCAAAAATTTTAGACTTCGTAAAATTTGAAAACTTTGTATATGACCTAAAATCACCAAATTTGGAACTACAAGAGGAAAATAGGTATGAGTATACAATGGTGAGGATTTCACAGTGATCGGTCTCGAAGGCTTTGAGATCAAAGTTGCCTGCATTTGCATGCAACATTTTCCTTTAGCGTTTTCAAGGTGTTTGACCTCAGGTCAGGTCTCGATATTGCCTTCCATGACTTACCTCATTGCAAGGAATCGATGAAGGTTTCAACGCGATCGGACAAGCCGTTTCGGAAAACTTGCGTATCTGCGTCATATGCCGGTTTTTAGACCCTTCCGCATCAAAATGAGTCTGAGACGGGCTATTGAACTGTGCTTCTTAATCATGGGTGTTTATGCGGTAGCCTATTTCCTTTGATACCTTCATCAGCTAAACACTCGGGCGCCTAGAAGCCTCCAAACCGACCATTCATAAGGAGCAAAGAAATTGATTTGCTCGACTCGACCCCGCTAAAAAAATATATCATTTCCGGTCCTCTACTTTACAACTGGCCCATAAATGATGTGCACGGATTCCACCCACAAGTTTAGTCCCAAAACCAGCTACACCAATTGACTACTGGGCACACATTCAACAGTCGATGCGCGGAAATTGCATCATAAATCCTGGCGGTCCATTGAATTATTGATATTAGAACCGGCCGAGGTACGATAAATTTGCGTCGGCAGCCATCACCAGAGTCGGGCATGTCACCCTTTCACAATGCCCCTCTCCCGCTGAAACGCCTGTGCGTCCGCTCAGCGCCGTTACGTCACGCTAGCGCCGCACCACTGACCGGTGAACCAAGGGTTCCGCTTGTTGTTATCGACGGTGAGGTTGAGAAAGTACTCCTCGAAGCCGCGGATAGGGTTGGCTTGCGGCTGCACGGAGAGCGTGCCCTCGACCTCGGCCTCGTTGCCGTCCGAGACGAGCGAGCGTGCCGACCAGCCGTCCGAGCCGATCCACGAGAACCGGCCCGTGGCGTTCATGCGGCGCACGGCGCGCATCACACCAGCCACCTCCTGGTCCGAGCCGAACACGATTACTCCTGAAACAGCGGAGGGCGTTCATGTCCCGTTGGCCACCTCCTGGTCCGAATCGAATACGATCACTCCTGAAACAGCGGAGGGCGTTCTCATCCCGTCAACCACCTCCTGGCCCGAGCCGAACACGATTACTCCTGAACAGCGGAGGGCGTTTTCATCCCATCGGCCCCCTCCTGGTTCGGGCCGGATATGATCACTTCTGAACACGCGGGAGATGGTACACTTGATCCAATACCTTTTCCCGCCAGAGGAAATATGCAGCACCGCAAATTTGCCACCTGAAGCCAAGACCTGAGATGAGGTCACACGAATAACGCCTACCTCACACTGCCCACCGCAGCGCACTAAAGCGGTAAATCAGGAGCGGGCATAAGCCTGGATCCCCAAAAAGATCCCAGGATCCGACATCAGAGTCTCGTCAGCAAAGAATTTGAAGGAATCCTGGATCCCGCCCATGGGATGCAAGCATATGCCTCATTTCAGGAGGCCGACCGGAAGGGCAGAGAAACATGAAAATATTTTGTAACGGAGCATTTCATGGGTTGAATTTTACAACCCATTTCAGCTAGTCCATAACCAATCAATCAGCCCGCCAATCCGCTTTTCCCAGATTCATCAATCCAACCCGGTCCGGTCCGACGTACCAGAAAAATCATCAAATGAATCCGTACCAATTCGCTTCCACATTTAGGACTTTTTAAAAATCCAAAACAGCGAATTTGGTTCATCCGGGTCCCCTCAAGTTGTGTGTTAATTTTCATTGGAAGGTTCAAACTGCCATAAACTAGTGGGTGCCAAGAAACTTATCACAGTTTGTTGCCTATGGGGAATGCAATTTTGCAAGAAGACCAGAAAAGACCAAGGTTCATCAAGTTATTAATCATATCACAATTATTTTGGTCAATAACTCACTAATATGACTACATCACAGAAGCCAAAATCGCTTCTGGTTTCAATACCCGAGCAGCATAAGCATATTTTCTAACGTTTTTAGATTTCAGGTTAGGTGCAACATGCGTACATTCGCCACTCGACGCCTTCGCCAGCTCTCAGTTCATAAGCACAGAAAGACACTCATCTAGTATGCCGTCTGAATAAATAAAACGACCATCTTGCCTGTGTATAGATAGGACACACGTAATACTTCAGGTGAGCATATGGGCACACTTGGACACACCATTCTTGGAAACACCAACCGACGAAATAACCCCAACTGGGACCATTCTTTCCTGTAAGATTGCCGGCTACGTCAAAAATGTCATCCACGCGGGCGACTGTCCTGTGGCAGGTGCCTGCAGTACTCTTTCATCTGGGACAATGAAAGAATTGCGTCATTTCTGGACATTGTTGCTAAAATGCCAGGTGCTGAAAATCAATTTTAGTTGCAACCGTGTTTCACACAGCTTCATTAACACATTCAAACACTTAAAAACAATTTTATTCCTCATATAATGATAATGGTGCGTCACTTTTATCCTTTTGTTTGTTGTTCTCAGCTCGCGTAGTTAAATGGTACCATAGTCACTTCATTTAGTGGCGCAGCGTTTAAGCTAAAGTGTATACTGTCTCTCGTGGGCCGTGCCTGCCACAGACACAAAGACATAATTCTTGCATAGTCATAAAACGTGAAACGAGAGTAGAGTGTATTTTGCTCGTCATCTGAAATCCGCCATCGCCGCGGATGCTTTAATATTTCATGCACATGATAGCCACTTTCCAAAGACTTGAGCAATCGCGCAAGCTTCTCCAAACCATACCAAATCTTCATTTGAAGAACAAATGGAAGATCCTGGAATGACATGCTCAGCCATGTTAATACCTGACTTTAGGTGTGCAAATGCATTGTTTGCGTTCAGTTTGTGCATGTTTCATACAGGTGAGAGTAGAATAGACAGAACACAAATCAATCAGAACTTAACTTAAGCCAAACTTTTAGGCCGGGTGTTCGGAGTACATAACTCAAATCATGCAGCTAATTGCTGGGCGAGAAAATAGCCTAGGGTCCCTGGTTGTAGAGGCCAACTTGCTCATTTTTTTAGATACATTTATCACAAGAAAAAGGAATTTTTTGCGGGGATGCAAATTTTTCCTTCTAGTAAACATATGGAACTAAATCAGCTGAAGCAGGATGATTTAATTGACGAGGCTGTTCAACTCATGAATTTTTCCGAGTAAGAAAGCAGAAACCGAAGTGTTGCCAGGTAGTTCATCTTGTTCATATTTTTTTAGAGCGGAGCTTAGGTTTCAAACTTCTGCGGTGTGTTTTTCACCAACATAACATGCTCCGGCACCGTTTTTCAGCTCTAAAATGCTATGTCACCAATGGGTTAAAAGGATTCCTGACCAGGAGGAGTGGTAGATTTGTTATGATACGACAGTTTGTTGGATTATCAGATATTCTAAAAAAAACTACATCCATTATTCCTCGAAAGGAGTAGTGGATCTAGTTTTCTACAGCAGTGTATATGAGTGACACTCTTTCATACCAATTTGTCGATGTGATCTGTACATCCTAAACTTTGTTTATTAAATATTTGGCTATTTCTAACTTGTGCTTTTCAGCCTGTGTATGCTTTGCCTGGAATGTATCTAATGTAATGTATTGGTTTAAAGGTTTTTTCTGAGCAGATGTGTTCATTAAACATTTCAAAGACCATATAGTGATGATGTCGATTTCATTCAGGGTACTAGAATTGCTTTTGAACTAGGATGAGAGGGAAAAATTTCATTGCAAAAAGACCGTGCAGGGGTGAAAAAACAATTCACAAAAGATGGAACTCATGAGTTCGTGACTGATGCTTCAGCGAACAAAGACATCTATTTCAAGTTGGCATGGACGTAATATCATAAATCTGACAAAACTTTCTGGTTTCTAACACCTTAAGCCGTTTAAGTGAAACAGAATACATTAAAGCAATTAAAATACAAAAAAGCAACTAGATACAATAGTAATTTCATGACAGTGTAATGAGCATACAAATTATCAACACCAATAATTTGATGCTGTACTTTCCACTTCCCTTCCACAGCACTTTAACACAAAACAAAGCAATGGAATTCAATGACAAAATAACAGAAAATTTAACAAGCATAAAATACTCAAACCAAAAAACCTTGGATTCCTACACATCAGCCCATCACCAAGTCAAACACAACAGACGTACCTCTGGCTTTTGTTAAGATGGGGTCAGGGAAAACAAATATTTTGCCACTTTTTCTTACAAAATACCAATGCTTATTCAATGAAAGTAGCCTAACTATGCCTAACGTAAAGAGGTCTTCTTTCATCTCATCCTGTCTAACCTGTTCGTATCACAGCAGCAGTTGTGAGTTACTGATTCTTGCACAATTCCTGTTGCCACTTGCCATGCACTTACCCAACTTAACCTAACTTAGTACATATGTTGCACATCATCTCAACTCACCTATCTGTTGACACCAGCACTTATGATAAAAACATGATATAGCTAATTTTTGGCTAGTTTCAACTTGCAGTTTTATTAATTTCACTTGCGAAAGCTTGTTGACATCAGATAAAGTTGACAACACACCAATCAACATACTTGAAATCACCTTGAACAACTTATTTTGATTGCCATGGTTAACCGATGTCAAGGGCAATAATCAGTATGCTCCACAAAACAATCTCTTCTCCAAAAGTAACATAACCTTTAGATGACCATGCAAGTATTGCTGATTGTCTTCTCATCTGCAACAAAGGTATCTATTTAGGCTTGTTTATTCATACTTAATGACAAAGTTTGACGTGTTGGCTTCACATTTTAAATGAAATGGTCTGACCACTTGATACATACTAATATTTAACTCATATTATAATTTTTATGCAGCTTTGAGTATCCCCGTGTTAGAAATATAGTACAAACGTGCAGTGCAGTCATTTGCCAGCCAGCGAACCATGACATCTATAGAAAGCATCTGGTTAAAGCAGCCATGAGGGGCCACTTCAAGAAATTTGGGGCAAATAATCAAGAATATGGAACATAATAAGTTCCATGGCATGCATTGTGGCATCATTAATTGTCTTACGACAAAACTCGATTGATTGAAACAGAAAATGTCTATCTCTGGTTACCAATCATGTGCTGAAAGCAGGTAAGGAAAGCAATTACTTGGTTCACAGGAGGCTTACTGCCTTCTTCCTGTTCCCCCAGCACAAAAAGTCAGTGCCTTTTGCATGGTCTGCTGGCAGACAATGCCATGCCACTCACCCCCAAATATAAATATTAATCATGCCCACCGACCTACGAGACTGAAATGCGAAACAAGTAAGAGGTGTGCATGATCAACATCTCCAGAGGGCAGAATATCGCCATCAAGCACTTCTATATTAGCTGTGTCAGGTCTGACCCAAAGCTCTGTATGGCAGCATTAGGGTGGCCTTGTCAGGTAGCCTGGTGAGTTTGGACACTCGAAAGGCTTAGATTTATCATTATTGAGTACCGCCATAAACCAAGAAAACGGTTAAACGAGGGGTTTACGGAGCAAAAATGGCGTTAAAAATAAGTTCCGTGCTTCGAATTGTCTCCTTCATTCCCTGTGAATTGTTCACTCTTGGGTGCATATGAAACATGCTTGAGCGGCTGGCGAATTAATCCAATTTATGTATGAAATACGTACAAGTTTGCATTTGGAGAATCTTGCATAGAAATTGGTCAATATTTTAAGCAACGGATGGTATCTCTAAAGGCAATCCAAAAGAAAGGAAGGACAAAGTGGCATCACACTCGCATGATACCAAGAAAAATAAAAGTAGTTAGATAACTGTAAACACTGACACTTTTCTGGCAAAACTTTGTAATCAGCTGATTCGACTTAAAATCTGTTGAAATAAGTGCTCAAATGGTGATATTCATCTTGTAAATTTAATTTGGGAGGCATTTCTTGAAACCTTCACTCTTGCATTTCGGGAGCGATGCAATTTAGTGGTCAAGTTTCCTCGGGGAAAAATAAATACGTGGAGTAAAATTATCTATCAGGCCTT